CCTGAGCAGAACAATCCGTTGCCAAAGCTCTGTCATAAAGCAAGGGAGAGTGTGTGCTGTCCTCAGCCTCCATCCGTCGCGGTGGCCGTCTGGACCGGCTCGCGGAGGCACCAGCGCCAGCCAATCTGGGCGTCTCCAGGCTAATCGCAACACCGCCTCAGAGAAAGACGCCGTGTTTTGCTTCCATGATTGATGGTTTCTCTTGACCTTTCAAGGAAAAACAGAATGATTTATGTAGACAGGTCATGTAAGCCTCTCCCAACCTGGAATTCCGCGTCGTACCGCGGAGGGGATGCAGGCAGTGGCGTAATGGGAAAAGGAGAAGCCACGTCCACCGGCTAAGCCCACCGCGTCCTGTTCGTGATCCCGGCATTACCGATGCCGCTTCCCGGAGCCCCAGAGCCCTGGGCAGTCTTCCTGGCGTCTTGGGAGTCTTTCTGTCCACCAGGAGGTCTCTACGTGCACTGCAGATGAGCGAGACTGGGTTTCTAGATGACGTGTTGTTCGATTCCTGTGTGGGACCGTGTGTTCCGCCTTTCCCAGAGCGGCTCTCACGCCGCACGTTCCACCCCGTCGGTCCCACGGTGCGAGTGTTTCTCAGATCTCACATCCCGACTGAGGGCAAGGAATGGAGGCTCCTCCTGTGCGTGGCCGATGACGACCCTGTGTGCACAGGCCACGTGACCAAGCTGCTTCCCGGGCTTGTCTGGGCCCATCTTCCTCCACCACCACCCGCGGCCAGCCCTGAACACGGGCTGGGCATGGCCGTCAGCCTCAGCACGGCCTGAGGACAGCACTGGTGGAGAATGTCGTGTGCTTTCTAAATTAGAACTCGAGTTGGAGGAGCTGTTTCTGGGACAGCTGTGAGCCAATCCCAAGAAGAAGCTACTAAACATCCAGGCCCCGAGAGCCAAACTCTGCACGTCGGGGTAGAGAGAGGAATCCTGGCCCCACGCCTCCACACGCCAGCCTGGCTCCGCCACCCCAGGCGGGCCGCGAGGAAAGCAGACAGAGCCCACGAGCCTTTCTGGGGCCAGCCTTGGAAACTTCCGGGCTCTCCTGGAAGCAGGGCTAAGCTAGACTCACATACTTCCCAGCAGATGCTGTGAGCATGTGTCACTGCTTTGCAGACACACACTGTGGAGGTGGACAGCCGCGTCGCTGGGGCAGAGGAGGCGTTCCACACGGTAGCGAGGCCAGGGCTCTGCGGCCAGACCACTTGGCACTGAGCCGCGCCGCCACTCTTAGCCGTGTAACTATGGGCGGGCCATTTCACCTGTCTGGACTCACTTTTCCCATCTGAGAGGTATGGTTACTAACATTCCCTACTTCATGAGGTTGTTTCCAGGAGGAAATGGAATAATCCAGGTAGAGTGTTGAGAGCTGCACTTGGCCCATGGTGAGTCTTCAGAACACGTGAATGAGGTTATAGGGGCCTTTGGTGTTCCAGGACAATCCGTCACCCAGTGGTTGAATCCCCACCAAGGTTCTCCCTCAAGAGCTTTTTTAGCTGATGCTTGAATACCCCTGAGGATGGGGAACCCACTACCTCTTGAGTCCAGCCATGATAAACTTGTACCCACCCCGACCCTGGACCTCACCTCCTCCGCTCCTAGCTCGTGACTCTCAGCAGCTTCCTTATGCGTTCTGTCATCGACAGCCACTGCTCCTTCGGATGAGTCTGTTTCTTGGACAGTTTTTCTTTGTGTTGGACCTGAGTCTTTCCCAGGTGCTTCCTCCTTGGTCCTAGTTGCATCCCTGTGGTCAGACAGAAGTCATCTAACCTGTCTTCCTCACGGTGGCAGTTTCAATCACGTGGAAACCGTTGGCACCACCCTCCCTGCTTGCACCTTTCCTGACAGAGCATCCCCGGCTTCTTCTACTGATCGTCGAATGCTGTGGGTTTCTGTCTTCCGAAGGCTCCTTGCGCTCACGAATGCAGCTTGGCCCCGTGCGCACGGATCCCCACTGCATGCCGAGGCACAATGCGGGCAGACGTGACGGGACTCGCGGAGCCCTGAGCGAGGCAGGGAGAGCAGTGTGCGTGTCATTGGGAGGCGTGGAGCCAGAGAGCTCCCGACAGTGGGCAGATCACGCAAGCGTAAGGTAGAAATGGCGTCACGTGAGATCAAACTGGGGAAGGAGCAGCTGAGCTTTGCCTGCAGGTGGCAGGGAGTCATTGGGTGACTTTCTGCCCAGACGGGACATGTACCGGTGCATGCTTTAGTGAGAGCATCGTAACTGCATCTTGAAGATGGGAAGCTGGAGGTAGCTACCCACACAACAAACCGAAGGCAACAGAGAAGAAGAAAACGACCCACGGACCGTGGTGTCTAAAATCTAGACCAGTGGCTGTCTCGGTGGTGGGACGATGAGTGATTGCTTTCTTCTTCTTCTTTCCCGTGTTTTCTAATTTTTCTATAATAAGTATTTTCCCTTTTCTCTGTAACTCACATGTATTATTCACATAGTAAGAATAATTTATACATGTCTAAAAATTACTTCAGAACCAAACCATCAGGACTCGGTACCTGATTGGAGGGAGGAGCCTTGGGGGTGAGTTTTCTGGCCAGCTGCTCAGGCGAGTGCTGTGGCTCCAACGGGCTGGGGACATGAGCACAGAGCGTCACGCAGGAATGCCCTCGGCCTTGCCAGCCGCTGAAATGCGGGCCACAGGCCCCTTTGACTCCCACGCGGCCTCCCTGCAGCCTGCCTGGCAGCCTCGGTCCTCCCTGCAGGCCTGAAACTCCGCTGTCCCTCACACCCCTGCCGGGCAGCAGCCTCCGGCGCAGCCCGCAGTGCTCCACGACAGCAGTGACTTCGCCTAAGTTTTTCACTCCTTAGATAAATCTCTGCTGAGCGCCCACTGTATGCTCAGCACCAAGACAGGCCTTAGCGGTAAGACGACGAGAAAAGCAGGCACAGCCCCCGTCTTCGCAGACCTCAGCCTGGCGCGCCAGACAGACAGGAATGTTTAAAATCACTTTAAGCTACACAACTGCAAACTGAGGTGCTTCCTCCAAAGGGAAGGAAACGGTTCCAAGAAGAAATACGACACAGAAATCTTCCCTGACTGGGCGTTTGGGAGGGGTCCCTGGGCAGGGGCCCAGGCTGAGCAGAGGATACATCCGAGGGAGCTGGGAAAATCGCTCCAGGCAGAGGGGACGGGCGTGGCGGCCCTGCGGGGGGAAGGCTATGGCATAGCGGAGGCTCTAAAAGGGAAGGTGCTTTACTGGAGGGGCGCTCATGGGGCAGGCGGTGGGTGCAGAGGTGCGGGGTGGACCCTCCTGGGCCTGGTGGGGCACGAGAAGGATCCTGGTCTTTATCCCAAGAGCAGGAGCAGCCACCAAAGGTTCCAGCAGGCCTGGAGCAGAGGTTCCCGGCTGGTGTCCCCTCTCTCCCACACCCGCGCTTTCCTTGCCACTGGAGGCCGTAGCACTGAAGGCCTGATGAGACCCCCCCCAAGGCCTTGGCAGCCCGGATTGGGGCTTTCCCTCCCCTTTCTGCCAGTAGCGCTTAGAGCCCTCCCCCACCGAAGACACCTCTGAGAGTCGCTTTGCAGTTCGGTTTTCAACTTTCCTCATGGCTTTGCATACTTTAACGCTAATGTGTGTACAACTTGCTAATTAATGGAATCATTTGGATCCAAAAACATCTCGTTCTAATGGGAGGCTACAAAGCACTCTCATTAATTCACAGGTAAAATTATCCCAGCTTTTCTCTTCCTTTATTTTTTTTTCTCTCCCCGGCTTGCCTTAATAGCTGGGGAGGATTCTTCTAATTAGCCTGGTGAAAACCACTCCACCAGGGCACAGAGCACCGGTCTGCCTCGGGCTCCGGGGAGAGGGTGGCCCAGGTTTTGTTTACCAGAGGGAAGGTGGGGGGTGAATACCAAGGTGACACTCCCCGTATGCAGCGGAGTGAAGGGCGTGGCGGGGATGAGAGCGCTGGGAGACAGGCGAGTCGGGTAAAGACACTGAAAGGGACCCGTGAGGCGTGACTCCAAGGGGTGTCCTATCCTGCGTGTGTCAAAGGTGGCCCTCAAGGTGACTTCCTGCACAACTGGCCCAGCTGGAAGGAAGGCGGAGCCGTCGTCTCCACCACCTCCCTCCTGGGATGGGAGGGCCGGGGCGGCTGCGGCAGCAACCTCACAAGCGACTTTCTTGGGCCGGGTGTAATCTGGGCGACTCGCTGGTAACCACCTTGTGCCACCTGCAAATGAAGATTTGCAGCATCCGCTTTAACCAAGGAGCATCTTGGCGTGATGCTCATGGCGTAGTTGAGCTTGTAAGAAGCGGGTGCTTCTCCCTTCAGGCAGCCACGCGGCCTGCAGGCCTCCGGGGCGCACTGGCAAGACCACGTGCCCAGTGGGGCTTTTCATTGACTTTTTGTTTCTGAAGGGATCTGGGTACTTTGTAAACGTTTTTTTCTTGTGTTAATATGTACATAACAAAATTTACCATTTTAACCATTTTTAAGTGTATAATTTGGTGATGCTAAGAATATTCACATTGTTGTGCATCCATCACCACCATCGATCTCCAGAATTTTTTCCAATGCCACGGTGAGGAGAGCCTTGAGAGACACAGTCCTGCACGGCGTGTCCGGGCCGAGTGCGTTCTCACTGTTCTGAGACGCTGCTCTTGGCGGAAAAGATGCTCAGTGGCCTCTGAGACGGGACGTGAGACATTTTGACGGTTATGGGTGAAAACAGCGTGTTCCTCCCTCGCGAGGGCAGCATCTGCCGGTCCTTCTCTCGGATCTGCCTCCAAGACAGATTTGGGTCGGGCCAAGCGGGGTTTACATCCCTGTTCTGCCAGCCACCAGCTGTGTGACCGTGAGCCTCGGTGTCCCCATCTAAAAAGTGGGCCTTGTGGTACCCACCGGCACAGCTGCAGGGAGAGTGCGTGTGCTCACGCCAGCGCGGTGTCCACGCCGGTGCTCGGGTCGCCAGCTCCCCGCTCGTGCCTGTCGTTGCAGGTCTGCAGGTGGTTCTGAACTCCATCATCAAGGCCATGGTGCCCCTGCTGCACATCGCCCTGCTCGTGCTCTTCGTCATCATCATCTACGCCATCATCGGCCTGGAGCTCTTCATGGGCAAGATGCACAAGACGTGCTACAACCTGGAGGGCGTCACCGGTAAGGGGAGGACACAGGGCGGGTGCACGGGAGGCCGCGGCTCCTCTCCCGGCTGTCCCCACGCGGCTGGGTGTGCTGCCGCCGTGGGGCCAGCAGGCCTGGGAGGCCCCCTTCGTTCCGACACCAGCGTTCCATGCCACGGTGGAGTCAGGGGCAGAGATCAGTATTCTTTTTCTCTCAGTTCCAATTTTTGTTTTTGTCTCTGCTAAACCAGCCAGATGTGGCCGGGCAGGTGGCTCATGCCTGTAATCCTAGCACTTTGGGAGGCTGAGGTGGGTGGATTGCTTGAGACCAGGAGTTCAAGACCAGCCTGGGCAATATAGTGAGACCCTGTCTCTACAAAAAAATTAAAAGTTAGCCAGGCACAGTGGCTCGCACCTGTAGTCCTAGCTGCTTGGGAGGCTGAGGCGGGAGGATCACTTGAGCCCAGGAGTTTGAGGCTGTAGTGAGCTATGATCGTGCCACTGCACTCCAGCCTGGGCAGACAGAGCAAGAATCTGTCTCTAAAAACAGAAAACAGCCAAATGCAAACTTTGTTCAGCACTACTGAACGCTGTTTCAATGTGCTACACAATTCGAGAAAAATTCTAAAGATTAAGAACCTGTCTTTTGTCAGTCTATCACTTTTTAAGCCAACCATGAGTACTGTCATGTCAGAATCAGAACTCACCTGGTGACTGTACCTCTCTGCTGCGTCAGCACTTCCGTGTGGCTTGTCATCAAAAGCCCTTTCAGGAAGGCCACTCGCGCTGAGCCAGCGGGCTCGTAGCCCTGCAGGTCTTTCCACCATCCTGGGGCTGGTCCCAGCTCCTCTGCAGTTCAGTTCCTGTGTCTCCGTTCACAGGCAGAAGGCCGGGGCCCCTTCCCGGGTGGCAGAGGAGAATGGCCTGGAATCACCCCCTTGCCAGCCCCCAAACTGCTTTTCCTCAAGAAGGGTTAGCTCTACCCTGTGACGTCTCAGTCCTTTCCTTTTTGAGACTTCTCTGGTTGTGTTCCTTCCGTCAGTCAATGTATGTAACAGGCAGTGGGGCTCCTTAAGCATGTCCGAGTAGAACTGGAGTTCTGGCTTGCAGGGTGTGCTACAAACTGCTGTCCTAGGTTACACACGTCTCAGTTTTGACCTTTTAAAAAAACATTTAAACAGAAATTGACAAGGCCTTTAAACAGACATATAAAGTATTTTAACACAAAGAACTTGTTGAAAAAAATATCCCCTGCCCCAAAGGGATTAGCAGTGTTAAATTTAGATGATTTTTTTTCAAACAGCGAGATCCACCATCTTAGTTTTGGCATCTTGGTGGAGAAAGGGGAGCATCTGTCTGGAGCGTTTGAAGAACACCTCATTCTTCCCCGTCTATGCTGCATCTCGTGTCCTTTTAGCCCGGGCAATAAGTTACATGTGACCCCTCTCACTTTGGGGCGTGAGGAGGAATGGTAGCATGTTATATAAGAAGGAGTGAAATTCATACTCAGAAACCAAAATAGACTGCTTGGCATAAATGAACCAGTTTGATTGGATGGATTGACTGGATATTTGCAAGGTTTCTAGGTCGGTCATTGCCACATGGCCGCAGTCCTAAAAAAATAAAAAATGAAAAACTACACACACACACACACACAACTTATAAACCTAAAGTCACAGGGTCATACCATTGTTTTTATTTCTTTGATGGAGAATCTGTTTAAGAAGAGACCATTATTTCACTCTAGAGAGAATCTCTAAATTACTTGGGTCATAACTGTATAAAATAAACTACCATGTTTTTAAAAATTGAGTCTCTTTAAAATTGGGGGAAAAATAGGTCTTAACTTTAGCTAAAATTCTGAGATTTTTCAGCCTTGCCTAAAAAAAAAAACAATATAATGAATAATATTTTCTCCCTAATTCAAATCCTTCCTTTTATTCAGTTTGCTCTATGGCTGGTCCTGAACCAGTACATCTACACTAATTGTGTGGCTTTGTAAGAGCTCGTTCAAGACCTCCCTAAGAGCTGACCGTAGCACATCTAAAGTTTATGTGATTGTACTGAAATTGTCAGTGACACATTTGACCCAAACTCCTCAGGCAGTCACGGAGGCAGGGGTCTCAAAGAGTCCCTGTCAACTCAGCAGTGACTGACGGTGTGGCGTTCACCAGCGAGACGGCAGCCCCGCCGCGCAGTCGGGTGTCTGCACCACGAAGCGAAAGAGAACTGCTTCAAAAGCTGCAGATGGCGTCTGTCGTCACGGTGGGAACACAGCCCAGAGGATGTTTTCTGATAGTGCAGGCTCCTCCAAGGTCTGTGAACCTTGCTTGGAAGTCATGGGCGAGTCCGTCCTCAGTGGTCTCAAAGGGCCGAGAAGTGGTGGATGCGGGAGGCAAAGAAAACACAGGGAGGCAGCCCTGCTCCAGGCCGCAGACGGGGGCAGCGGAAAGGCCGCCTCAAGTGCCAAAACCTTTCATGGCCTCCTGTGGTCCCCAGTGACAGTGGCCAATGTAGGAGCATGTCTTCCCCCTTGATAGCAAACAAGAGCGCCTGAGACGTTGCTTGCCGGCTGCCGTGAGCCTGATCCGATTATTTATGTGATGGGTTTTATCTCTGCTCTGCACAATCCGAAGAGAAGTGGGCTCCCATCGTGGAAATGACCAGGAGCCGGGGGGTCAGAGAACGACGAGAGGCGAGTTCCAGAGACAGCCATGCCAGGCTCCGCAGGGCAGGCGGCCTCACTGCAGTGGGAGCCAGACTCCCTGCCGGGAAGAGGACCGAGGACTCTGGCAGCACAAGCCTTTCCTCTCAAATGCTCTGCAGTCAGGGGCTCCCTCTCCCCTCGCTCCTAAACCTGCTGTCTGTTGCCAGTCCAGGGGCCCACGCCCTTGCACCCACAGGACAAATACCACTGTCTTCGGGGCCTCGTCCACCTACGTGGGGACTGCCACTGACCAGGAGGGGCATCGTGCAGGGATGTGGACGTACCCATGCACCCGTAAGGTAGAAGACCAAACACCTGCAGTTTCTGGAACCAGCCCCCAAGTGTTCTGGAGAGTTTTGTATCACCTTTGGAATGGGTCATTTTTTATTTTTTTTTCAGATTTCAGACTTTGGATTAAATTACCATGTTGTCTGCAAATTTAAATTATACAAAAGTGCCTTGTGAGCTGTTGTTAAAATTTTTTAATGAGATTTACATCAAATTCTTCTTTTTATACTTTGGTATTATTTCACGGACTGTGAATTTTCTGTACTTTTAGATTTTAGAATACACTGGATTTTGAGCCATGTTTCCTGTAAAGGCCATACGAGACAGCTGTGGAGCTGGCCAGTGAGCCGTTAGGCTGCCCTTCCAGTGGCCAGTCCCTGGTGAGGACGGTCTCAGAAGAGGCAGTTTTTCCCTAATCCCTGAGACATCTGCAGGCTGCCCACTTGGTTCCTCAACAGATACATCGCCATATGCCGACACCTTTTGTTTCTGGTTGTCCCATCTGTTTGATGTCGCACCGAGCCAGGTCATCTGAGCAGCTCTCCCAAGCACGGTAATTACCCCTGAGACTGGCAAAGAATTGGTTGGCTAAAACCTGGAAATGAAATCATCTTCATGCTATTCACTCCTTAAAGTTGGGTCCTAAAAAAGTAATTGATTTTGTCTTTGGTAATTCCTCCTTGGAACCGCTAACGGGAGCTCTCCCGGGATTTCGTGTTTTGTTGGTGTTGCTGCCTTTCTAAAATCCCTCCTAATCTTCGCCTCCGTTATTTTCCTGAAGACTTAATTGGACTCTCCGGAATGACTCTTCCTCTCTGTTTTAAAATGTGGAGCCTGCGCTGCTTTGTTCTCTCTCCCACCTCGTGTTCCCACTCTGCTCCCCAGGCCGTCGTGACTGCAGAAGACCAGCTCGTTTTTACGTGGAAGCTGCTTCCCCTCACCCGAGAGTGCGTGTCGCTGGGACCTGCCGATTCATGTGTGTTCACATTTTTCAAGTGTTCCCTGTAGTGCTTTTTATAGATACCTATTTTTACCAGATCATCACTGCTTCTTAATTGTTCTCAAATCTTTTTTATTGTTGTTCAAGACAGATTTAAAATAGCAGAGCAGCACTTGGGCTTTTAGATAATCTTTCTGAATCCTGCCCCTTTCCCTCTTATTAATGAGATCACTTCCCCTTGATGCCGTTTCTTTTTAACATCTGTTTGTAAAACCCCCAAATGTGTTTTCCTTCCTGGAGGAGACGCAGAACTCACTCGGGCAGCCTCCCCTAGTCAGTCTCTGCGCCGTCTCAGGCACCAGAGCGCGGGGCAGGCTGCCAGATGCGCAGGCCCGACGTGAAGGTCAGCCACGTCCTTATTCTGCTAAAAAGCAAAACGTAAGAAAGGAAACGCAAGCTTCTCTCTTACTTTCGCTACCCTCTCTCTTTGTCCTGTCCCTGTGATCATTCCAGCGCTGTTACCACAGTGACTGCACACCTCCCTCTGGAAAGCTGGTGCTAGAATGGGGGAGAACCCAGCAGAATTTATGATCCATTTGGTTATTGGTTTTCCAGTCTCTCAACACTCAATTTTTTAGGTGCTCATGATCCACTTTTTCATGTATTATAATATTTAGGTTTGGGATTCACTTTTTAGTTCCTCTCTTCTTTATAGCCTCACATCCAAATTTCTAAAGATTTCATAATTTCAAAAGTCACAAAAGAATTGTGACTAGAAGGCAGCTTAGATTAGCTGCATTGAGGCAGCCCTCCTGGGAGCCGGACCCCAGAAATAGGAAAAGGCGTGGACACTGTCATTCCCTCCAACAGTGCAGGGACCAGGAACACAGGCCTTTACACCCTGGTCAATGAACGAAGGACCTACACGCAACTTTAAGCACCAGGCCAAGAATAAGCCAGGAAGCAGCATGATTCGTAACAGCCCAAACCTGGAAACAGCCCAGATGTCCGTCAGCTGGCAAATGGGTAAACGCACAGCGCAATGCACTGCTCGGCAGTGAACAGCAGCAGACGCTCCTGAGACCCGCAGTGGCACGGATGACGCTCAGAGACACTGTGCTAAGGGAAAGGAGGTGGACGCAGAAAGCCTCATCATGTGTGATTGCATTTATGTGAAATTTCTAGAAAAGGCAAAGTGATGGAGACAGAAGTGGGCCAGGTTGCTGGGGCTGGGGGTGGGAGGAGCGAGGACCGGCTGCGAACGGGCACACGGGAATTTTAGGGGGCGATGGAAGTGCTTTAAAATGGATTGTGCTGATGGCTGCACAACTATGCAAATTTACTAAAAATAATTGAGCTGTGCATTTACATCAATTAATTCCAAGGCATGTAAATTATACTTCAATAAAGCCGAGAGAGAGAAGAGGAGGAGGAGGAGGTAGAACAGAAGGAGAACGAGCAGGAGGCCACAAAGATGACCAAGAAGATGATGATGACAGTGAAGAAGAAAAAGCGGAGAAAGGGGAGGGGCAGCCACCGTCACTGTCACTGGGAAAACACAACCAGGCGTCTATTTTCAACCGTAGCATTAGTTCCATTCTCCTCGGAATTATCTCTTAGTTAAGGATTAAAATTTCTCTTCCTGTCTTCCTCTTGGGAGTGAACAGTTTCGGATTTAAAGCCACAAGCCAAGACAGCCAACCAAATGACAGTCTCCAGCACAGAGCCCGCGTTCCTCAGGCAGGACAGCCACGGCTGTGATCATGCTGACGTGGAGGAAACCAGAAACGAACGTTGGGGATCCGTTGTCTGTCGGCGAAGCCCTGCGAGCAAATCCTGTCTGGAAGCACGTTTCCCTGCCGTTGGAGGCCGTCGTCGTTAGAACGGAGCTTTCTTCTGTTTGGTACTGTCGTTGCTTTCTGTAAGGACAAGACAATGTCCTTAATTTCCCAACTCCTGTGGGTCCCACGCTGTTACCTCCCAGGGCCGCGCCGAGCCTGTCTCAGTATTTTAGCATAGTGAAAATTATTAGGTCTGTCAAGTCTTACCTAAACTCACCAGTGGTCTCCGTGCCAGGATCATAAGCCACACCTGAATTCATCGATGCCAGTAGCTGTCCCCAGCTTGGAGAGCGAGCCCCAGTGCCGCCTCCGCCGCAGACAGCGCTGTGCGTTTCCTGGAAGCCCTGTCCACACCTAGCAGGTGTCCCCCTGTCACCCACTGCACGCTGTCTTGACTAGAGGTCAGAAGGCGACTCCTCTTCTCTGCAAGGTGTTGATGCTGGGAGCGAAGGGCAGCACCGCGAGGGCCCGCACGGCAGGCGTCACACGCGGGCAGCAGTGTTTGCGCTCCCGCGACGCCACGCAGACCCTGCAGGCCATCCTGCTCCCTGCAGTCAGAGTTTATTTGCTGTCCTTCGTCTGTGTACAACTTCACTGTGAGGTGACGTGAGTCCCTGGCAGTGTGTCCTGTAACATGTAACAGACCCATATATGGTCAGAAAGTGTTATTGGATCCAATCGATGTAGCCCTCACTCTGGTATTCCAATGGAAGTGTCTGTAGGTACTTTCCCGCCAAAAAAAGAAAAGGTAGACTTCCTACCATTTTCCAGGACAATTTCCACTGGAAATGGTGGCATCATCATTATTTTTTGATTTGCCATTTGGCTATGATGCTGACATCAGAGTCAGAACGGGCACCGGCCCTGCCGTCTTTGAAATCAGTCACTGAGGTTCAAAGACAGCTTTAGAGCAATCCGTTGAAAGGACTGATCTTCTAAATGGGTGGCGGCCTGAGACGACGGGTGCCTAGTTTCTGACGTTTAATTCCCTGCGGGACTGAACGGCGTGCGCTCTGCACTGCTGTGGCCGTGGCGGTGCTGCCCGGCCCACCCGCGCGATCCCATCACTTTCCCTCTAACTCCGTTTCTCCTTTCTCTGCCCGCCTCCCTCGCTCCCTTCTGCTTCCGTCTCCTCTTTCCCTGTGGCCACTCGAGATGTCCCAGCAGAAGACGACCCTTCGCCTTGTGCGCTGGAGACCGGCCACGGGCGGCAGTGCCAGAACGGCACGGTGTGCAAGCCCGGCTGGGACGGACCCAAGCACGGCATCACCAACTTCGACAACTTCGCCTTCGCCATGCTGACGGTGTTCCAGTGCATCACCATGGAGGGCTGGACGGACGTGCTCTACTGGGTACGTAGCGGGAGATGGCCGTCGCGGCCGAGCCGCAGAGGCTGCAAGCCCTCCCTCACGGCCCCTCCGCCCTCCTCCCCGCATGGCTTTGGGGTCACGCACCCTTCTTCATGGAGTGTTGAGGAGCGTCTTTGATTTCCTCCAGGTCTTGCCTGAGAAACAAAGCATGACCTCCTCCCCTGCTGAGTCCTCTCTCCCTGATTAAATGTCATCTTTCAGTTTCTCCAGCCCCAGTGCGGGGCACCGACATGTGGTCGGCGCTCCGTGAGCACGCTGGCCAGGCCTGGCACGAGGGTCTGCTCGGCTTCTCCTCCCACCGTAGAGCTCCTTGTCCTGTCTCTTTCCCCAAAGGAGAGCTGGGAGGTGGAATTATGAATTCTTTGGGCTGAAGAGAAAAGTCAGGCCTGGTCTTCTGAAAAGAAACTATTTAAGGAAACCATTTTCATTGAATAGTGTAGCATTGTGGTATGCTATTATATTTTTATCTTTCATATTACTCTTAACATGTTAGAATTGTCCATCAAATAAATGCATTGGCATCCTTTTTACTGCTATGAGAACACCCTGCCGGCTATGTGATGCCTGTTTAGAAACACCACTTCCTGAGTGCTAACCGGTCAGTAGTGAATCCTCTTTTACTTTAAAGATGCCCCTTTACCCGGCAGGCTACACTGCTTTGCTGCCTGTGAGCCACTGAAGAACCAGATTTTCATGCAGCCTGTCCCACGGCAAATTCACACACCACGCCTGAGCTGTCTCCATTCTGGCAGCGTCAAGTCCATTATTAGGACAAATTCCAGAAAACATATTCTTTGTAGTATCTCCTACTCCAGCTCAAGACATGACTTGCCAAAATCCAGTGTTGTTCTCCAGAATCTGGGTGAATAAAGCACGTTGCCAGTCTTAAAAATACGATCTCTCCCAGAGATTCGCAAATAGTCAAATGTATTTGGCCGTCGTGAAGACAATCTAGAGCCTGCCTCGGGAACAGGTCTACAGACGAAAGCAGGGAAGAGCGAGAGGGCCGCGAAGGCTTTCGGGCCACGGGGCAGAGCTGCCGGTTAGGAAGGGGACGATGCCAAGAGAGCTGTTGACTTCCTGCGTCAGAGGGACGAGCTTTGTAACAGTTCAGAGATACGGTGCACGGTATCCTGTCTTCTAATTTTTTTTATAAGCACCATGTCCTATTGATTCAAAAACCCTCTTTTCTCAGTTTTTTATACTGAAACCCAGTGTAGCTATGAAACGTGTACCTCTCTGTAAATGAATACTTGAAATTTGCCTGAATGCCTTATACCCAGCAAACGTTTTTTGAGTGTCCTTGCACGGCAGGGCTGCTCCCGGGCTCTGACGATTGAGTCCCAAATGAGAACCAGTTTGGTCTGGGAAGCTAACTAAACTCTAAACTGAATGATAGAGGCACAGCTGGGCCCGTGCCGCGGCAAAGTTGCTGAGTTGTGATACTTTCAGAAAGAAGACAAAGGTCCAGTCCCCTCTGCCTCAAACTAAAACGCAACACTGGAAAGCGTTTCTCAGGCTCATGCTCAATAAGCACTTGGTTTTGAAAAATTTGTAAGACAGAGAGAAGGAGTTGAACTTATTACACTTAGGCAGATTTATTTTACTTAGCAAAGCAAATCAAATTCCCAAGTGGCCCCAACTGGTCCTTCTTCCTTGGGTGGGTCCCTCTGACCAGCCAAGGACAGAAACGTCCTTGAGCTGATAGGCAGTTTCTGCCTGTGGGCGTGGGATGGTTGCATGGGACTGTGCTTTGGGGCCTCGTCCCCTGCGCTTCAGACCCATGCCTATGCTGCTATGGGAACACCTCTCATGGCACCGAACTGGGGGCAGGTGGCCGCGGGCTGGTGGGTGTGGGGTGGGGGCGTAGGTATAATTTCCTTTGCTAATGACCGTGCTGTGTTTTCGTGATCTTCCTTCATCACTCCCTCCCTCTCCCCACCACGAGTCATTGATACCCCACCAGCCAGATGCGACCCAAAGAAATCTCGTCACAGTGACAGCCAGAGTGGGGAACGGGAAGACGCACACAACTGCAACCACCAATTTGCAGCAGCTGTGTTGTGCTCTTCCCCCGGGGGTGTGACAGTGCTCGGGCTGGGAATGGAGAAAGTGTCAGAGGTGAAGGAACAATCCCAGGCTCATGGGATGTGCCTCTCTCTGATTTTCCCAGCACCTTTCCAGAATGGCTATGTTGTGTGTGTGTGTGCACATGTGTGCACGTGCACATATGTATGGACGTGCACACACATGCACATGTACACACCTTAAACCGAGATGGCCTTCTACTCGGGTACTCATGATAGCAGCACTCGCTAGCCCAGTGCTCCTGCTTTCGGACAGTTTCTCTAATTGCTTTGACCTTTCTGTGGCCATTTCTTCCTCTCTCCCTTCTTCCTCCCTCCGCCTCTTCCTTCCTTTCCCTCCAGTTTTCCCCCTCCTTGTCCTCTAGGCCTGCATCTCCAACCCACAGACTCTCAAACCTCAAAGTGTTTTAGCATCAAACATGGAGCTTTCTAAATGTAAAATAGCCAGACCTTCCTCCAAACCATTGAATTAGAAGCTCCAAAGTCAGGGCCCCAGTGTCTGCATTCTGAGAAAGCTCTCCAGGGGCTTCTGATTTCCAAGCTGCAGTTTGAAAACCCTAGAGGTCTAACCTGTTGAACCCGCATGGTGTTGCTGTGATGCCACTGGATTTGAACTCGTCTGGGAGGTAGTTTCCTTGGAGACGGGGAAAGTAGGGTCTTCCATGCAGAATAATTAATTTCCCTTCAAACCCACAGGGCATGTCAGGGGGCTTGGGAAAGAGCAACTAAGACCTTCAGGTATAGCAGTGAATGGAGACCCCAGAGTGGGGCCCACTCCAAACCATCCACAGCCAGATAGATGCTCCTGGGTCATTAAAGCATCAAAGAAGCAATTGAGCAGTCACTTGGTATGGCCTGAGATAGGAGGGACCAGGAAGGTCACCAGTAGCAAATGGCAGACTCCTGCCTCCTACTATAGGTGACATAGGGTCTATTGCTCTTTTTCTCCGACATCTGTTGTTGTATTATACTGTTATGATCTTGAAGAGTTACTGTACTAAAAATAAAATCAGACTTGGCCAAGTAGTACTTGAACATTGCCTCAGCTAGGAAAGCCATTGGCCACGCATTGGGTTGAGGCCACTTGAAACATGTCTTGTACCCAGTGCCCTGTTGGAGGAGTCTGCAGGTGACAGGGTAAGGAGGGTGGATGCTGGGCATTTGGAGACTAAACCAAAACTCAGGCTTGGGCTGTGGTTTCCTTGGGGAATTACTTCTTAAGCCACGGCCTCACCATTTACTCCCCCAATCTCCAAGCCTCTTAAAACATAGGCGGGTTGGCGAGGAGGGTGTGACCAGATAAAAAGCACTGGCCTTCTTCGGGAGCAGTGAGGCACCAGGAGAGGGAAGAACCCAATGCCATGTAACGTGACTGTTGGCTTCTATTTCTACTTTCAGGAGTTTGGCTTTTTTTTTAAACTACACATGCTAGCCTTCTGCATGTATTCAGGACTGCCTGTCTCAGCTGGTCTGGGCATGGGCCCTCCTGAAGATGCAGGAGGCTGTCAGACCGAGCTGACTGGCAGGACTCTGTCTGTAGGATTCTCAGACGGGTCTGAGAACTCGGGTCGGCTTGAAGCTCTGAGCAATGCCCCTTCCACACCGTAGCCGGATCACAACTGGGTACCTTTGGCACCAATCAATTAAATATCTTTCGAGTGCTGACTTTGTGCCCAGCACTTGAGAGAGCCCCATGCTGGTGGGAAACAGGAGACCTGGCCGCTGGCCTGGGGTTTAGGACGCCCGGATGTGAGAATTGCATGTGAGAATTGCGGGGAAGGGGGAGCAGTTGAGTACGCTAGAATACACGGTTCTGGCTCTTTGGGAATCTAGAAGCCTGAGTAATTCTTCGTCAATGCTGTTGTCCTCTGGTCACCCAATGCCCTTCTTAGCAGGGCCCTGAGAATGTTCACACTTCGCAGCACGGGAGAGCGGCGCTGGTCTGTGTCGTCCAGGTTCGCGCCCTCCCCGCCCTGTTGGGGTCACCCTCTTCCTGACACCACCCATTACCCGCCCCAAATCGGTTTCTCCATGATCAGCTTTTCTGCTAATTTGTTTAAAGTTAAAAATTGAGCTTAAAAATAAGGTCAGAAGGAAGAGATTCGGCATCTCTCAAAGCCATTATTTATTGAGTTTTATTTTATTCATTTTGTTGGTATTAGAGGAGTCCTTATTATTCAGTAATTCAATTTAACAAACATTTATTGAGCATGTACTGTGTTCCCAGGGCTGGGCAGGGTGGAGGTGGGGGGAACAGAGAAGAACGGTCCAGGCTGTAACCGCAGACGTGCAGGTCACGAGAGGGGCGAGGGCGAGCCTGCGGGGCGCCCCTGGGAGCAGCAACTTGCGGGGCCCAGAGCACTCTGGGGCCAGGCGGGGCTCTGCAGGCCTCGAGGCTGGACGGGGGCCTAGAGAAAGCTCCTCTGCCCAGGGAAAGCACGCTTGGTGCCCATTTGGGAGACTGGCAGACCTGTGTTTTAGGTTCCCTCAACACACCCCTTTGGCTGTGAGCCAGCGTCCCGTACACAGATCTTCAGACTGGGGCCACCACTCTCCACGGTCCTGACCTCCCACTCAGTGTCAGTGCACGATCCCATCTGGTGTCAGGGGCTTTTTTCCATACGTGGAGGAGCTGATTTTGTTGGCTTGCCTTGGTGCTAGGAGCCTGCTGCTGCTTCCCCACGTGGCCGGGGCTTTTACTCATGCTCCGAGGCGCTCCCGAGGTCTCCGCCTGCAGCATGAGCAGGTGTAGGGACAGGAGCCGGGTAGAACCTGTTCCCTGCTTGCTGCTCACACAGTGACCCTGAGGCAGATGCCTGTGTCCCAGCAAGCAAGGTGACCCAGGTCGTGAGTGGTCACAGACTGACAGAGCCCTTGCCCTGGGCTGACTGGCGTTCACTGGCGGCAGCAGGTCCTGCCCTCTAATGTCACTCGGTGTAAAGCACTGTGACTTTTATGGGTTTACACCTCCTGCCTTTTGGTGGCAGGTGACAGCGTCCCTCAACCTTTGCTGGAACCGTTCAGTCCTTTTGGACCCACAGTACCTGTGGGAAAAGGCACGCACAAGTTGAAACCCAGGGACGTCAGCTGGACCGAGAGCAGCCTCAAGAGGACGGGGCAGGGAGGGGTGGTTCCTCCTGTTTGTCCTTTTGGGGACGACAAATGGTGGATTTGAAGGTTTGAGGCTGGAGTTCCCCTCGAGGAATTAGACGATGGTTTCGGAAGAGGCTTTGGTATTTTCCACTGAGTGCCCCCTTGGCTCTGTCCGCAGACCCTGGGACTGTGCGTTTCAGCGAACTCGGCTTCGTCCCGTCAGCCTTGGGCCCGAGGCCCTCGTGGCTGCAGGTGGGGACGGCAGGGCCCGTCTCGGTGCCTTCTTTAGGACAGTCACAGACCCAAGGAATGTCCAGCCTGATGGTTTGAGCAGACCTGGCCTTTGTTTCACCTCCGAATCAGGGTGTCAGCAAAAATACGGCTTTATTTATTCTTTCTCTTCTTAATAGCCCCATTCCAGCTGATTTAAGACATCAGTCTCATCACTGCAGGCGTCGCCCTACTTCAGAGCCACCCAGCTTTGCAGGCGCCCTCGGAGTCTGTCTGCAGAAGTAGGTGGCCCAGAACAAAGAGGAGAAAGTAGGAGGCACAAAAGGGGCCCTTTCCTTTGAGACCAGGGCTGGGCGGCCAGGGACTCGCCTCTGGCGCCTGTGGGGCGCTGCCCACCAGGAAGCAGTGGTTTGCTGAGGACCCCCCGCAAGCTCACTCATCTCTCATTCGCCCTCCTCCCCGCCCCTCACCCGCTGTCCCCCACCTGGAGCCTCTCCAAGAACTGGCCCACAGCCAAGGGGGGCCCAGAGCGGAAGCGTGGGTGTCAGCGGGGCCGGGACCGTGGTCGTGAGGTCTGGGGCTTGCCGACTAGAAGTCCCTCGTGCTGCCGGGAGCCCTCACCTGTGTGCGGCAGAGAGAGCACGCCCAGACTGATCCAGGGCCCACAGGAGTCTCCACGTTTTGTGGGTCTGTGTGGCTGTGAGGACTGCATCTTCCACGAGGCTAGATGTTCACAGAGGACCCAGTGAGGAGGGATCTCACGTCAGGGAGGTTGGCCAAGCGCCCTCCCCCGCACCCCTACCCACGGGCCGCTGCCCGGGCTCTGGAGGCAGCTCCCTGGGGGAGCGTGGTGAGCGTGCCCCTGCCTCCTGGGGCTGGCTGTCCCCACCAGTCCTGAGGACAGTGGGATCTGGGATCCAGGGAGGAGTGGGGGCGCCTGCTCAGAACAGACCTCCTCTGCCACTCTCCGTGCCCCGACCCACACCTGGGGGAGGTGCGCCTCGGGCTGGGGCAGAGGAGCCGGTCAGTAACCGTGGCATGGGCCCCAGGCTGCACCACCGGGGCCCTACACATGATGCCTCGCGTGTGTGCATGTGTTCCGGTGAGAGTCCGCAGCTCGCACCGGCTCCTGACTCCACACCCTCCGAGAGAGGAGGCCTTGCTTCCGACTCACCGGCGGCTTCGCTGTGAGAGAGCGAGAGCTGCAAGGACACCAAAGGCTCCACGCGACCTAGGGTCCAGGTCTCCGTCCTCCTCAGTGGGGGCCTGGGCCCCCCAAGCCCGTTGTTTTCCCAGTCTCTGTGAGCCTGAAACTAAGCTCAGCATCCTGCACGTGGTCGACACTCAGTAAATCCTTGTTGCGCAAGCGTGGACTCTGGCATGACCACGCTAGGAATCGTCACGGGACACGTCACAGCCCACGTTAACCGAGACCTGCAGACCCTGGCCTGCCGTGGCCTTGCAGCAGTCCTCGTGGCCACCAGTGGTCGGCTAGCTCGCTGCGGCTCTAGCACCGTCCCCTCCCCGATCTCATTGCACCAGACCCGCTTCCCCTCGGGTCGGCTCAGTTTCGTTTTTCTGCTCTCGGTGATGGAGGCTTTTATTGAACGTCCCTTTGCAGGCTTGGTTTGCTGCACTCGTGGTTCAGACAGTTGCCTTCTGGCTGAAGTAAGGCTCCCAGGCTCGCTGGGATGGGGACAGGGTCTGACGCACAAAGATCTTCCACCCCGCCTCTCCTGACAGCCGCTATTTCACTGGATATTTTAGTGGTTCAGCCGCTGGGAAAATCCTCCGTCCTGCAGCCAGGAGGCTGTATGGCTGTGGGCTCCATTTTTAACAATTTCCAAGTTCCAGAAAGCCCCGTTCATTGGTCCTTCACAGGACCACAAGGACTCTGGGCTTCCTTCCTGCCCCTTGACTCCTCCCCGCAGTGGCCCTGCCGTGCAGGGCTGGCACAGGCACGGGGACGCACCAGCGAACAAGCAGACCAGGCCACCTGTCCTCATAGAGCTTACCTTCTAGCATGGGAGACAAAAGTAGATAATGAAGGTACGAAATAAGTAAATGACGCAGTTATAGAGTGATAAGTGCTGTGGACAAAGTAGAGCAGGGCACGTGGGAATGACGTGAACTCAGGTTAAATGAACTTCCTGACGTCGTGGTTAAGTGGCGTGTGCTGGGAGCTCTCCCTTCCTCGCCTGCTCAGTTCAGCAGTCCCCACCTGCGGTGTTTGCGCCAGGCCCTGTGGCTGCATTTCCTGGGTTTCTCTAACCAAGTATAGTAATATCACAGAAATATTAATGGATCAGTAAAGAATATGTAACCCTGCAAACCAGCCAGACCAGGTCGGTCTCTCAGTACTTCTCAGTACTTTTTATTCCCAGTACACAAAGAACATAGCATTTATTCCGCCTACTTAGGTAAATGATCAAGTTGCTCAGAGCCTACAAAGCCATTGATATCTGCTCGTTCAAGGCCCCTGCGGTAGAAACCGTGGCAGTGCTTATCAAACTTTAGCACACCTTCGACTCACCTGGGGTGGTTAATATGCAGACTTCTGAGCCACACTGAGAACGTGGGGCAGGGCCCAGGAATCTTCTTTGTTAACAGTTCTCCCAGATGATTCTGAGGCCGGCAGCCTTCTGGCCACACCTTGAGCAGCACTGCTGTGTGCCTTAGCAGAGGTGTGGTGAATCACAGCGCTGTGTGCTTATGCTTGAAGTTGGGAGCTGTGGATAGAACGACACAGGGCAGTGGTTCTCAAGCGTGCATCAGAATCACTGCAGGGCTTGTTAAAACACAGGTTGGGGGGCCCCACCCCAAGAGTGTCAGGGTGGGGCCTGAGCATGTGCATTTCCAAACAGGCTCCCAGAGGACGGTGATGGTGCTGGCCCACGGGGCCACGCTTTGAGAACCACCAACGTGTATCGTTCACGAAGCTTGTGTACCTTAGGCATTTGGGTTTCTGTGAGCTTATTTCACAAGGACAAAGTTGGGGCTCATTTTTAGGAAGCTAAGACTAAACTCTGTTTAGTCAGAAAGCATCAGCAGAAATAGATTTGAGAAACTAAATCAGAATAAATTTCCTCTTTGATAAAAGCCTGCTCTCTATCTTCACACGCACTCTAGTGAGTAGTGAGCTGGTGAATGCTTAACAGTCCCTCCCCAGGGGCAGGGTGGAGGGGCCGACTCGTAGTGCTTGCCCATTTCAGTGGTGTAAATACCCCACCGTGGCCATTGTCAGGCTGCCACCGTGAAGCCACTGAACATGGAATTGGAAACAGACGCTCTGGGTGAGCTCTCCCCGGCCCAGAGGGTCCAGCCCTGGTGTGTGACTGCCCCCAGCCACGGTAGGGGGTCTGCGAGCTGTCTCCGTCATCCGGGTAGTTCCAGTCCCAGGTCCCAGGTTAGGGACTGTTTCCGTCTAAGCTGTAGTTGCCGACACAGGAACCTTTCTTGGAATACATAAACCAAAACAACTGCCTCTCCGGGCCCTGGCCTGCGTGCTTACACAGCACGGGGGCTTAGCCCCGCAATGCTGGGCACGGCCCAGGGCCCAGGCGCAGGCCCTTGGGGAAGATCTCCTTCCTCACGTGTCCTCGAGAGTGTCAGTTCTCCAGGCCCGCCCGTGAGAGCCGCCGCACTTCAGACGCCAAGGGCAGTGTGCCTCAGGGCGCAGCGCAAGACTTTGTGGCCACGTAAACCCAGCTCAGCTAAAGCCATCCCATGCTGAAGAAATTATTTTTCGAGGTGACCCACCTTCTCAGACAAGTGAATAGAAAACATTAGGGGAATTTTTCTGTTCCAAAAAATAAAAAATCAGAGAGAACCAGACATTCCTCTTGAGGCAGAGCCTGTGAGGGTCCTTTGCAGTCACTGGGAAGTGTTTTGAATGTAGATGGTGCCAAGGGTGACGGTGGGTCTTGAGCCAAAACCCAAATTCAGCCCCATTCATCTCCTCGAGACCTGTCCACACACCTTTCTACCTGCCTCTTGCTCTAACTCAATTCTGCTTTCTCTCTTCCTAACTTTCCCTCATCTTTCCAGATGCAGGACGCTATGGGCTATGAGTTACCCTGGGTGTACTTTGTCAGTCTGGTCATCTTTGGATCCTTTTTCGTTCTAAATCTGGTTCTCGGTGTGTTGAGCGGGTAAGCTGACCGTTTCTACGTCCTCCTTACAATGCAGCCGAGCAAGGTCTCAGGTCCCAGCAGACCCATTGCCAGGATCCTCAGGGACGGGACCCTAACAGGCCCAGGAAAACCAGAAACGAAAGTCTCCATTCAACCACAAATCCTGACCCTGGCTGGGCAGGCTATCTGGCCTCTGATTGGCACCTGGAGGATCCTGGCCCCGGTGCTGCTCGGGTCGGCGTCCCGGGCACCAGGGACGGGCGCCGGCCGTGCTCGGTTGCTGAGTGTGTCTCACTAACTATCATTCCGTTCTTCCAGGTCAATGATGCCGTAGGAAGGGACTGGCCCTGGATCTATTTTGTTACACTAATCATCATAGGGTCATTTTTTGTACTTAACTTGGTTCTCGGTGTTCTTAGCGGGTAAGCAGGACCAAGGAAAAAGGTCTTGATTTTTCCATTTATTTTTTATTTATTCTTTCTGCTCTTCCTGGCTCTATTCTTTTCCTGGCTCTGATGAACCTTGGGTAAGGGGTCACCTTGGGAGCCTTGCAGTGAATGTCCTCGGCCTGGCTGGGTAAAAGGTCAGACACACGAGAATTAACCCATTGGTTTGGTTGGTAGACTGGGGAGACATGTCTGGTCCTCTCTGTGTCCTGCCAGCTCACCCAACGCCTGTGCAGCCTCAGGCAGCTGTTCGGGTAGGCAGGATACGTCTCCTTGTGCCTTGCTGACATCCTCAACTTGAGGAGTGGCCTGGTGAGACCCTCGAGTGGGACCACTGTGGTCGCGTGAATTTGAGGGGTTCATAGACTGGCGCTTTCCTCGTATGTGGCAGCCTGCGGGTAGGCACGTGCTTGCCCTCTTGGGCCGGTCACGACTTGTGGCGGGCTGACGGAAAAGATTTCACATCACTGTCACCCGGTGGTGAGCAGGCCAGGGCAAGAAGGGGTTGGTTTCAATGCGAACAACAAATACAGGCTCCAAATCTTATTCTTTTCAGTCCTGACTCGTGGGCTGATCCGTCCATCTCTGGGTGTCCTTTTGTGAAAAGGGACACTTACCTGTTGAAGGCCATAGATTGCTTGAGAACAGAGGTGGAATACACTTTCCTTTAAGTTTGTCTAGTCTACCTAATTCGGCTTGTTCAGATGAAATCGTAAACGGAGCATGTGGTTGGAGCGTCCAGTGGCCCTGAGGGTGGCCACCTTTGACCTGTGGAAGTGCACGTCAGCCAGGCCGAGGCCTGACACCTAAAGGCTCCCGGTGACCTGCTCGCGGTGACCCACTCTGCTGCCTTTGCTACGGGGGTGGGGGTACCCTCTTTCTGCTCCGCTTGAGACAGGTCAGCTGCTTTGAACAGTCGTTCCTAGAAATCCAAAGACCTTAATGCTGGGAGAAATTTAAGCATAAGGAGAAAGATTTCTCTTCCCTTTCACTCGGCATGTGAACGGGGGCCCAGCCACTCCGCCTCCTGTGGCAGTTTAATACAGGGCAGGAGCACTGGGGTCACCTTCGGAATCCCATGAAGGAAAGAACCTGCCCCCGCCCTCACCCCTTCCAGTAGTGGGGCCAGGGTGGAGACCCGGGTGACATCAAGCCCTTTGCCAAGGCGAGGCCACACGGGACCAGTGCCTTCCATCAGGGATAGAAAAGGACGAGTAGAACAATGTGAGTTCCTGGTTAGTTGCCTGGAGGGTAGGAGGTTTTCATTTTTATGTTCAAACACAAGAAAATGCCCCTGTTTTTTATGTGATTCTCCAAGGAAAGCATTGAAAAAAATCACCCCAGTTCAAGAGGGAAACTCGAGTATCCCAGCTCTGCACTTGCTGGATACCTGTCGTTGGACAGCTTCCCCTTTCGAAACCTTCCTTCCCCATCTGAAAAAATCAAGGTGATGGAAGCAGCTCCCAGGTGGCTGTGACGACAGAGTGGGATCACCTGTGTGAGACACTGAGCCGGTGACTGGTGCATAGTGAGTGCTCAGTTGCGGTGCTGTCTCCGCAGTGACTATCATCACTGGTGCCAGTCACAACTGGAATTACCAAATAGAATCATCAAATGTTGGAACTATTCCAGTCTTTCCTTTCAAAGATGAGGAGTATAAACCCAGGCATGTTAAGTGACTTACACAATGTCACTTTGCTGGCAAGTAGCAGAACCAGGGCCAGAGCCGGGCACAGCTCGGTTCCCATCACCTCCCGGTAGACGTACATTGAATGAGCTTGAACAGTAACACAAGCCACAGCTTGAAACTTTTAAAAAAATATAATTCCACTGTCTTCCCCTAGAGATTAGGAACCAAATCTGAGCAGGCGAAGTTCTCCGCAGGAGTCTGAAGTGGAGGATGAGGGTAGACCTGAGGGCTGGGTAAGCAGAGCTGTGACAAGTCGTCCTGTTCCCCCCACCGCAGGAGTGCTTCTCCCCGTGGTGCCAAAGCAGAGGAGCCAAATGACAGAAGCTGCTGACGTTAAAGAAAAAGTCCTTTTGAAGGCCATGGCCTGACTTCGTCCACATGAGACAGGGTGTGTTTGGACATCTCACCCAAAACCTGGCACTTAGTTGTACTCGAAAATGTCGGTTGATTCAGAACAGAAACGTTAAGGCTACGTGACGTGTGAACCTGGGAGCCTCAGTCCGTACACTGGTCTTTCCTGGAGACCTTCGCCAGCATCTGCTCACGCAGCTCCAGAGTCACTGGTAGGACGCCTGCCCAGAAGGGCAAAGAGGTGTCTCCGAGTGAGCACCTCCACTTCCTGGTTTAAGGAGGTCAAGGACTGGCCACCCCCACCCCATGCAGTGACGGAAGCTGGAGTCGGGCTGCTGGTGGCTGAGCACACTGTGGCAACAGTTTCGAGGCGGCCTCTTGATTAGCCAGGACAATAGAATAGGCACCACAAGAATGCAGTAGAACACCCGCTTGCTCCTCAGTCGGACTGCTGATTACGCCAGCTTTGCAGAAGCATTCACAGAGGTGCAGAGCGCTGTGGAATTCACTGTGACAGTGATAGCACTAGCAGTCACTCCCATTCTGTGTGTCAGGCCTGCGCTCGGTGCTGTTGGTGGATCCGCTGGGTTAATGCTCCTGACAACTCTCCGAGCTGGGTGCGTTACGGTCTCCATTCTACAGAGAAGAAAAGTGAGGTTTACAAGAGGAAACTAGCTGAATTCTAGCAGGTGGCAAGTGGAGGATCCAGGGCTGAGCCCGAGCAGCGTGAACCATAGCCCCTATCCCCAACTCCACGTGATGCTCTCCCCAAACCCCTGACTGGTCACTCCCCTGTTTTCAAAAGACAGTCAAGAAGTGGGGAGGGGAAGAGCAGAAGCTGCAGTAGGCAGGGCGTGTGTGCAGCGGTGGCACAGAAGCAGTGCACGGCAGGCTCCTGGGGACAGCCAGTGGCACAGAAAGAGGCCAGGCCAGAAGCCTGCAGCAGGGCAGGGCTGCTTAGCATGGGTGCCGGCAGCCCCGCAAACCTTCGTGGTCCCTGGGCGGGCGCAGAGCCACCGACCCAACAGCACGGCAGTTGCGGAGCCTGTGGGGCTGGGGGCGCGAGTGCGAACCTGCATCCATCGGTTGAGGATAAGTTTACAGCCAGCATATCCCATAACTCACCGTAAATGACGTCCTTCGGCCCCAAGGGAAGCTTGCGTTGTGCTTGGTGTGTTCTGCTCATGAAGATAGAGAAGATGACACTCCATTTAAAAGGTGGAAATTCAATGATTTTGGGTCACCAGAGGGCCAGGCCTCCTTTATCTGGAACATTCACATGTCCAGAACACCTTACGTCTGACGAAGCCAGATAGGGTCAGTATAATGAGTACACATCTCTTGGATTTTTTCACAATACTTCCATGTTCATTATGTGTTGATCCTCATGTCAGTGCTACGCAAGACGAAGGATTGGTGTTGGTATAAATAATAATCGGATTGCAGTTACTTTCTCCCCTAGTAATCTCAATCCCCAGCCTCCTGGAATTAGAACGATAATAGTGACCATGAGATTCTTGGAATCGCACTTGAAGCTGTAACGAGGTGAAAGTCTCTGGACTCTGGAATCCAGCTACTTTTTGTTTAAGTGGTTGCAGAGGGCTTCGGCTTTCTGCCTGCGGTTGGCGAAAGGCCCAGGCTCTCACAGGGGTAGACCTCCCAGCTCTTTCCCACTGGGAGATGGGTGCGTTTCTTGCCCCCAGAAAGCAGAGGCCCAGGTAGGCAGGCATTTTACAACCTGGAAGTATGACTAGGCCCTGGCACCGCAGCTGAGACACAGTGTCCAGGTGCAGAAGAAGGCAATGGAAGGGCAGGACACAGATGGCTCGCGGGCGGGAGCAGGAGAGATGGCAGCGTCTGTGGTTGGTGCTTCTCATTCACGTCCTGTGCAGTCACCAGGAACCAGCACCGGATCAGCGAGCACCGAACCGTCAGTCCCAGGGAGATGCTGGGTTAGGTTCCCAAGCCTCTCTCTGGTCACAGCATTTTGTCAACCAATCAATACATAACCTTGTTTTGTTGTGTTTCTGTTTAAAGACACCTTGTTTAATATATATCGTTCACTCATTAACACTGAGCTCCTGGCAGCAGCACCGTAACTCACGCCTGAACGAAGCTTATTTAACACACACTATTCTCCATAGGGCACAGGGCACATCACAGCCTGCTTGTACTTAGGGACCGAGACAGTCCTTCGGCAGTATGCTTGGGGGCTATTTAAAACAGCAAAATCACCAACAAAACACACGAAAATGCAAAAATCATGGCACTAACTGGACCGTAAAAAGAACACTTGTTCACAGCCTGAGAGCCGAAGCAGGAAGGCAGAGCATCACCTCGTTCGACCTCAGCTGGGAACTCGTGAAGCTTTTGCCATCTGCGCGTGTCCACAAGTGACTGTGAAAGTGTCACAAGTACCGACGTTGGGGCCGTAAACAAACTCTAGTGAGTAGGTAAATTCGTAAACACGGAGTCCACCATTAACGAAGATCAACTGTGCTGATTATCGGAGGACCTAGAGCCCGGTGTTTGCACCGACTGGATTTCCTACGTGCTCGCTTTGCGTGACTGACCTCCAGCCCCTGGCTCTCCCGCTCCCCTCGTCGTCCGTGCTGGCCCTTGCTGGCAAGAGATGCACTTCTGTCTTGTGCCAAATCCCACAGCTGTGACCGACTGTCTCCCCAGCTCCGGTGTCGGCGCCCGTCAGGTTGGGCTCCACGTCTTCATTAGCACAGTCCCTAGGGCAGGCACGTGGCTGGCGTCCAGGCAGGGAGGTACAGAGAGCCAGCACTGCTACCCACAAATCCCTCACTTTGCAGGGCCTTTCGGGGAAGCCCTGCTCGCCGCCCGCCCTGCCGCCAGCCTGGCTGTGCCCCATGCTCCGAGGGAGCCGGCGTTGCTCAGATCCTACCGTGCGCTTCTCCATCGCCTCACGCCCGTAGCTGTCCCTCCTCTGCAAGAGAAAAACATCTTCAGGCCCATCAGAATCATCAGCATACCTCCTTTCCTTTTCTCCTCCTCATGTTTATTTTAGCCCCCCAGGGGCCTGGGGGTGTAGATGGTGAGCTTTCAGTCCGTGGGGAGGAGGCTGTAAAACAGTGTCCCTGCTCCAGGTGGATCCCAGTTCTGTTCTCCCAACTCCAAAAGAAGTATGGGTAGGTGTTTTGTAACCGGAACGTGAACCCTCCGCAAAATCCTCCGAAAGAGCTGACGTGAGCCGTTGGCTATTCAGTCCCTTGCAACCTCAAACCCACTCCAGAGGAAAGGAACGGAGAATGCAAATGGGTGTAGGCAGAAAGATAGTGAAGAGCGGGGCCCTTGAAACGCAGTTTTGGAGTTGGTTTGCAGAGGGAGGGAAATGCTATAGGAAGTTACTGTCTCCAGGAAGCAAGGCCAAGGCCCTGGGAGGCCTGACCAGGTCCAGAGAATAAGAGGTTTGGGCATCTTTCTGTGCCCATCCCCGACAGCGAGAGCAGGGAGAGCGCAAAGAAACACAAGGCCTCTGTCTCCTCCGTGAGCTGTCAGTCGGCCCCTCTTCCTGGCATAAAACTCCCTGGGAAGGAAATGAAGGTACCCGTTGGTTGGCAGGATGCCCGAGAAACAGCAAGTTCAATCCAATTAGAATTGGATTCAATCAAATTCAAGAAGAAAATTCAATCCAGCCCAGAGCATCATTAAGGCAGCAGTTGAAGAGAACTCGTTAGCTTAGAGGCCCCACATTTGCCAATTACAAAGTTCCCTAGACCCCGCCAGGGCCCCACGTCGCCGTAGAAATGGTGTGTGCTGAAATCTATGCTCTCTGAGTGGCACAGGCAGAATGCAAACGCCAGACGACATGTGTGGTGACAGCAGTGCCACGTGACGGTGTGCTCAGGAGCGGAGCTCTCGTCCCCTGTGGTTTATTGGCGCTGCGCTTCCTTCCACAGCGCTTTCCTCAGCGTGGCTCGTGCAGGACATTCTTCCAGGTGGTTTCAGCAGCCTCTCCTCCCCAACCGGGCCTTCGCTGGAGAGAGGAGGAGGAACCGAGGCTCCAGGAATTAGCCAGGAGGCCTGTGCGAGTACACACGCACACACACGCACACCACCAAGGGCCACCTCCCCGCAGCCTGCGCAGCGGAGACAAATCCTCACATAGACCTGTTGTGGAAGAAAAGGCACAGACTTGCCTCGAGAGTTGAGAACGCGCCTTGTTGGTGGCTGCTCTCTGCTGCCAGCTGCCTCCGTGCCAGAAAGTGAATCTGAAATCAGAAAATTAGGACAGAATCATAGGAAATAGAAAAAAAATAGTCATTCTGTCAGAACTTTTGCAGTAGGACCTTCATCCAACAAATCCCAATACAATTCCAATTTCTACTCATTATTACTTTAAGCTGAATGCATCGTTTAACTTTTATGTCATCTTGATTTTATGTATTTTTCTATTCTGATTGGATTTTTTTTTTCCACCAAAAGGGCAGCCCCCAGGACATTTTCTTGTGTTTGGAATCCTCATTTGTCTCCATGTGGGAAAGAGCCTTCTCTACATTAGATACCCTTCCGGGCACGCCAGGAGCAGCAGGTTGAGCTCTGGCAGTAGGAGTAGGGACTGAGGAGCTTACCTCTCCTGGTCCTCAGTCCGTGGTGCGTGGGTGAATATTCCACAGTCGGCTCCAGGGAAGCCCTGGCTCCTAGCATTTGCCAGTTACTGTGGTGTAAATGCTCCCACCGTGGCCGGTCTCAAGCTCCCCACGGGACATCCTTGAAGCCAGAGCTGGGAAGAGACACGCACCACCAGCTCTCGGGACCCAGTGCGAGTGAGTGGGCTTGGGCACACTGCCCATCCCAACACCTGGTGTCCCCTGTAGGCTCCTGTGGGATTTCTCAGTTACCACCCGGTCCTGGGTGGAATGAAAATGCAGCTTCCATAACTCGTGGGTGTTTTCAGTTACCGTCTGGAAGGGTTTGCAGGCCTTTGGCAAACACTTGTTATTGAAAGGCAAAACCAGGAAAGAGGAAGATGGACTTTACGCACCCCTTAGACTCTCACGGCCTGTGTGGGGAGTGTCCCCTTCTGTGCTGCTTTCCATCTCTGCAAGCGTGAAACCTGGGCTGCTGGAGAGCTGTGTGTGGAGAGGGGTGTGTGGGCATGTTTCTGGGCGCAAAGCAATTAACACTCTGTTTCTCCCTCTCTCCTTCCATGGCCCTCTTGCTGCTCCCCTTCTCCTACTCCCCTGCCCTGCCTGCTCCTCCCGCTCTCGCCAGAGAGTTTTCCAAAGAGAGGGAGAAGGCCAAGGCTCGGGGAGATTTCCAGAAGCTGCGGGAGAAGCAGCAGCTGGAAGAGGATCTCAAAGGCTACCTGGATTGGATCACTCAGGCAGAAGACATTGACCCCGAGAACGAGGACGAAGGCATGGACGAGGAGAAACCTCGAAACAGTGAGCAGCCGTCTTCTGTCTTGGGGCTGGGTTCTGGGAGAGGGGACAGCACCGGTCGGCTCGAAACCTTTACCACCAGCCTTTCTTTACAACCCAGGGTCTGTCCCCCTGGAGCAGCATTCGTCCCAATGATCACAATCACTTGCTGCTCATGGAAATTAGTCACAAGTGGGAAATCATTGCTGTTGCTCTGTGAAACCGCATATTCCTCTGAGGATCTTTGACCTTGTAAGACAGTTGAGAGTTTGCTAAGGTGAAGCCTTTTTTTAAATCAAACATCCTCCTCCTCCTAGTCCTCCTCCATCTCTTTGGGCAGAGAAGCAGGCTTCCTGCTCCAGGCTATTTTGAAAGGAACAGTTTCTCCCAAACAGCCACCTGGAAAACTTCATACCTGCGTGGGATTCTCCCCACGTTTGCAGTAGACTTCCAGGCACCATTGAACTTTCTCATGGGAAAGGGAGTCGAAGCTTCCTCCTAAGGAAGGTAGATTCAAAGGTCAGAGTCGGGGAAGCCCAGAGGAGTTGGCAGAACAGTCGGATTACAGAAATTGAGCCAGATCCCTTCCTCTGGGGTTTTCTGGGGCAGATGGTCGGGCAGGCTACTGCTGGGATGGAAAGGAGTGGTAGAGGATATTGACTAGCAGCATGTCAAAGATGATGAACCATGGAAATTCAGGCTCTCATCAGATCAGCCCAGTGGTTCTCAAAGTGTGGCCCCTGGACCAGCAGTGTCACGTGAGAAATGCAAATACTTGGCCCCCACTCTAGACCCAGTGACTCAGAAACTCTGAGGATGGGGCCCCAGGTGTTTGGGGTGCGTGGTGAATTTGAGAACCACTGGGTGAGCTCTGCCTACTCTGTGTGTCTCACAGGGCCCTGATCTCTGACTCTCTCTCCCTCTTTCTGTGCGCAGTATCTCTCTCTTTCATTTTACATGTTGGCACAGGTGCGTTTCTGTCCTCTCAAGCAGCCTAACCTAAAACCAGGTTCCTAAACATTGAGCATCTAGAGTAGTTGAGGAACCAAGCAGGTTAAAGAGCTTACCAGGATGTTTGTAGAGAGCAGGGAGCCAGCACTTGGCCCTACGCAGAGAGAGCGATGCAGAGACCCCCAAGGGGAGGAACGGGTGGAGGAAGAGGGAGAAGACAGCCAAGATGTTCGCAGAGAACAAAGTCTCTGCTCTCTCATTTCAAAGATTGAGTTAATAAATCTATCAACTCCTCCCTTTCCGATAACTCTGCTCAAGGCGCAAATACAAAATTAAGGCACACCAACACAAGGGGCTGGTGACAACATAACTTGGTGACCTAAGGGGGCCTTCATACTCTGCTAAGTAGCTTTGCAAGCTGGAAGTCGGGGCCTGTGATGGATTATAACAATGAGCAATGATGCCATTGAGGGTCTTTCTGGAAAAATGCCTGACAGCGTCTGTGACACTGTGGATGCAACTGCGGAGCAGCCGATTAGTTCGTGGCATGAAGCGGATGGCAGATAAATAAACCGGCCCACGAGCCACGGAGAAGCTTACCTCCGAACACAGGAATCTGTCCCAGCCAGCCGGAGTGGAGCCCCTAGCTCGTGATTAATGGTGATGAGCATGTTTCTTAGCGTGTGCTATTAAAATGTGCACTATCTGCTGCGTCCTTAGCAGACAGTTGCCATCCGCGGAGACACGTGGCATTCTGTTCTCTGCCTAAAGCAAGAGCAGCCGAGGGGACATGTGCTGCTTCTCTGCCTCGCCCAGTAAATGGATAAATTCCGAGGAGAGTTCCCAGCGTGGCGGATTCTTTGCTGCCGGAGCGCATCACGCTGATGAGGCCTGTCTCCCCACACTCTGGCCGGGCGTGGAGAAGAGCGTAATGAATTGCCTGCCCCAGTAGACAGAGTCTCTGCCAAGGTTGTCATAAGCCCAACTGTGGATGAAACCAGACTCCCGAGACTGTTGTTCCTCTCGCCTTGCACTGCTCCCTGGTGGCTGGAGGAGCATTTGGGGGACTGAAACGGGAGCCTGGTTCCTTCACTAGCGGAAATGCTGGTGGGACAGTTCCATGGGGATGGGCATAGGGAGTAAACATCCAAAGCAGCAAGGTGCAGAGAGTAAAATGCACGTGCGGGACTGAGGGATGGAGCCAGGACGAGAGTCCACAGGACCACGTCTACTGGGTCATCCAGTCAAAAGCGGAGTTGAAGTGATTAAATGATTAAGGAGTCGGAGTCCTAAGAGCCTCGCAGTAAAGGAGAATCTGCGGCTGGGAAACAATGTTCTTATATTCGGGACTTCATGGTTTGCCCTTTGAAACAAACACAAGGGGAGAACTCCTGCACAAATTGAGACGCAGGTGTGTTTCAGGTAGCCTAGTAGTTCGGCCTTGAGGTCTCTAAAAGATTACAGCATGGGATATTCGCCGGTTCTTTCCATCTCAAAAACTGCGTAGTGCTTTAAGACAAAAGGTCGATTGCTTTGGTCAGCGGCTCCGGCGCTGCTTCTGCCCCGGGCAGCGCCCGGTCAGTGTGCCCCGCGTGCCCGGGCATGGCGCCCGTGAGGCGGAGCTGGGTGCCGTGTGGGACCAGCTCCCCGTGCATCGCTGCGTGGTTGCCAAGCACCCCTAAGGGGAACCAGCCACTCGCTTTTCCTGGGGGAAAAGGCTACCACGGAAGTGGAAGAAACGGGCGAGAGGAAGACAGAAAGTGTGCGGTAGGGAGGGGTTTCTCTAAACGGCTGGAGTAAACGAAGTGGTCAGCAAGTCGTGAGCAAAGATGTATCCAGCTCGTCCGTCCGTCCTTCCACCCGCGCGTTAAAGGCCTGCTCTCCGCCAGGCACTGCTCTGGCACTGGCGGCCAGCAGCGAGCAGAGGAGTCAAAGCCCCCGCCTCGTGGAGCGTGTGCTCTAGCGCGGGGCGGACCGTGAGTGGGACGCAGTCGGAGCGGCAGCTCCGGAGGGAATGAAACAGTCGGGTGTGACTGAGACGTGGTCGCCGGGACTGCGTCTCCCGGAGTGGCGGCGTTGTGCTAACACCCTGAAGGTGGTCAGGAAAGGGACTGTGTGGATATTTGGGAAAAGAGACTTCCAGGCAGAGGAAAGCTGGTGAGAAGGCCGGAGGCAGGCGTGTGGCGGACGTGTCCGGAGCAGGGGAGGCGCGTGCAGCGGGAGAGGATGCAGCCGAGGGGAGGGTGGTGGGAGCCGGGCCAGGGTGCCGGGGTAGTCCGTGTGTACCGCCCTAAGAACCCGGCCAGGCCGCTCTGGAGGTCTCGAGCGAGGAGCGGTGTGCCCCGAGAGACATGAGCAGAGGGAACCAAGGCAGGGCCCCGTCGGGGGGCGGGGGGGCTGCTGCTGGAGAGGCTGGGCCTCGTCTCGGCACCGGCGGGGGGCAAGGTCAGACTCCAGGATGACGTCGTTTGCAGACGTCTCAGATACGGGATGTGAGAGGGGAGTCAGAGCTACTCCAAGGCCATTGTCCTATATGACGCTAAGAGTAGAATTGTCATTTATCAGTATGGGGAAGGCTGTGAGAGGAAGAGGTGTCAGGGCAGGAGGCTCAAGAAACCCATGTCGGGCCTGTACGTCTGAAACACCATCAGACGTCCTAGTGCAGATGTTGGGCAGCAACCGGGAGCAAATCTGAGTCCAGGGCGGAGGTCTGGGACTGACTCACTGGGGAGTCAACAACACAGAGAAGACACTTAACCCGTTTGTCTGGACGAGATCACTAGGGAGCGAGTGTGGGCAGAAATGAGATGGGGTCCAAGAACTGAGACCTGGCCTCCCAGTGTGTGGAAATAGGAGTGGCGAGAAGGAACTAGCAGAAGAGACTTAGAAAGGTGTGGCCCGAGAGGGAGATGCAAAGGACGGGAGTCAACGCTGCGAACAGGACAGAAGCCGGCCACTGCACGCGCGGTGGGGCTCGCTGGTGCCTTGACAAGGGCCGTTTGGCAGGACGTTGGGGGCAAAAGCCTAATGGTAAATCAGAGTCTTCCTCTGTGAGTCTCAGTCCATAAGCTTCCTAGAATGGCACTAAGCGTTGCTCTGCGGGCTTCCCGCTCTGCTGGCATGGCCCAGCTGTCAGCGATCTGGGCAGTTTGGCCACCAGGACACCAGAAAGGGGAGAGAAGACTTACCCAGTCACTCCAGCAGGCCCACGGCCCCACGGAGGTCAGGGTCTAACGCCCAGCCCTTCATCATGCAGTGGTTACAGACGGCCTGGGGAAAAAGGACATGACACTCGGGAGCCATTGCGGGGCCAAAAAGGCAGCAAACAAGGAAGAAAGGCACGTGTATATGCACTGTTGCCTGCGTGCAGCCTCCAAAGACCCTCTTCTCGCTGGGCAAAGATGAGGGTAACGTCAAGGCCTCCCCCTCTGGCCACTGCTTCTCCCTCCCCTGAGAGCAGCCACGGGCATCCCTCTTAAAGGCCCCAGTTGCAAAACCATCACTTCTCACGGGTGGTTGTCATCGGTAGAGAGCACTGCTCCCAGGGACAGGGTCCGTCATCCAAGTCCGATGTCAAAGCTGATGGAAGGCCAGGCATTAGAGGAAGAAGCCATACAGAAAGAGAAAGAGTAGGGGTTTTCTTCCCTCTTTTTCACCCTCAAGAACAAAAAAAAAATGCATTTATTAAGTATTCACCCGTGCGGGAATCTCTCTCCCATGTCATTAGGGCAGTTTAAATGCAGCCCCAGCCCTCTAAAGCTTGGGGTCTAAGACAGGCGTTTTGTGGATGCGCGTATAAAAACAGAAAGACGCTGGACCCAAAACGTCGCATTTCCACCCCGATGAGCAGGATTAAACATTTACACCAGTGGCACTCGGTTGTGTGACTCAGGAGCCACTTTTGCAATCATCATTAACCAGCAGAGCCACAGGCCGCCGCCTGCCCTGCAGAGTCTGGGTCACGGATCACTGAGATGCAGAGATGTGAGGGCTCGTGGGAGCCGCAGCCGCCCACGAAAGGGCCCCGTGCGGCCGGAGAGCAGGACTCGGAATATCACTGGCTTGTGTAATGT